CACACTCTTTTTCTAGGAAAACTGAAACTTCCCAGCTGATTATGACTTTCTAGGGATGGACCTAAGTGTAGCATTGGCACCAACTTCTGTATCTGTCACAACTGTTGGAAAGGAAGGGATATATTTTATATGCAGTATGAGTCCCCAGTCTAAACTTTGTGCTTTCTTCTCAGCATTGCCAGATGTTAGCTACAGCAGTTGAATGCTTTTGGTTAGAGACAGACACTGTTAGTTGTTCCAAAATGATACTTGTGTCATGCTTAAGGATGGCGCCGGGATGACCTGTTATGTTTGCTCGCCATGGGAAGGAGCTCAGTGTCAGAGTTTGCAGCTGCCTCACAAACTGCTGGATTTTTAACACAGTAAATAAAAGGGCTGAGCTTTGATGACTCTCCAGCTGAGGAGGCTGATGAGTTTGGACAGACATAAGCTGAGGGTATGATATGGATGTCTTGATATTAAGCTGCCATGGTGTTGCAGACGGTAAGTGAGGTTGCAGATGGTGAGTAATGCTTCCTGGTGATATCTCTGTGACAAGATTTCTCACTGCGTGGTCCAAGAAGGAATCATTTTCTTAAATGTTAGGATGTATGAAAAACCTAAGGGGTAGGGAGAACCCATCCTTTCATCTTTTCACATGCTCCTTAAACGGATTTACTCCAAATAAGTAGTAAATGGGGCAATTGAATCTGTGCTAGTCCAAATAGTTATCCCAAAGGATAAAGCCCTTAAGAAAAACAGAGAAATTCTTTAATATCTGATGAACAGCACTAGTTGCTTAAATTAGATTTTCTAATTCCCAGTCTCTTTTCTCCATATATTATCACTCCTCTTCTTTCTTTTAAACTAGTTTCTGTTTCCTATCAACTCTTTTTTTTTAATGTGATAGCAGTTGCCCCTGACGGAACCTCTTGTCTCCTGCCAAGATCAAAATATTCCTGCATCTCTCACTGACTGAAAATCAGAAATGATTTTTTTCTTTTAAATTTTATAACTGAGGGAGTCATAGAAAAATTGCAAAGTAAATTCTGAGCACTGGTTCTTTTTGCTCCTTTACCCTCTCTCTAACACTAGTTTTTCTCCCCATATGTGTGGCACTTTTTCTCCTACTGCCAAACTCTGCATGGGCAGAAGAATTTGGTCTGAGTTTTCCCAGTTGCCTGTGGTGGACATCTGTGGTTTTCCTTGCCCAGCCTCCCATCCTTTCTTCTTTAACACACACTGGTTTTCCTTTGGGGATTTATTTGACCCTGACTTAGTGGAGCTGCCAATAACGTGCCCTGACTCCATCAACAAGGGGTTGGGCCTAGTAGTGGACAAGTAGTACAAAAAGAACTGGTGTTTTTGAGGACTGACAGGAATGCTGGGTTTCTCTCCTTTTGTGATTATGGACACAGGGATTTTGTGAATATGTAGCTGCTGGGGGTGATCTTTGCTGGGGTCTGGAGATTAAGAATGCGGCCAAGAGAAGAAAACAGATGAGCTGTGGAGAGAGACACAGAGAGAGAGACACACAGAGAGAGAGAGAGAGAGAGAGAGAGAGACGCTGGGGGGGTGAGAAAGAAAGAGAAAGAGAGAGAGATTTTTATGAAGAGAAGTTGTGACTCCTACCTTAAGGAGTTTCTGGTACTGCTAAGAGTGCTAACAGGTGGTGGGATTGCATAGAGGACCTTGAAGGCTTCTCCATGGCCTGATATCACACTATGTTGGTCATAAGTTGTATTACAAGTTGCAAACTTGCAAGGGCTTCAGAATTAAATTTGTTTTAGAAGAACTTGGCTAAAGAACAGTTCTGGAAGCCATGATTAAGTGATTATGTTGTTAGAGAGAACAACTTCTCTTCCTACCTAAATGAAACACTTGTTCATAAAGTCACTACCGGAATTCACAGATTGACATTTCCTTCCACTTCCTTGGCATTGCACGGGAGAATGGTACCTTAGCCAAGCCAAACCCACGACATGATTGTAGCAACATTTTATTAGGAACACGTCTATGCTCCTAAGTAATCTGCTTACCTAGTCAGACAATTTAGTCTGGTTGTCATAAAGTCAAATAAGAACGTACTGTGGAATTTCAGAGAGTGTTACCTTTCAGAAGGCCAGATCGTGCTTGAGAGGTGGTGCAGGATTAAAATTCACATGAGCGTCAGAGGATTTAGCTAGCTCATCAATTTAATTCATCCAGGAATGTTTAGGTTCTAATGAGCGTATTGTTAACTTTTTAAAATTGATGTCATTTATGCTACCTTTATAAATTTTCATTTATGTCATAATTCTGGCTGAATGGGTTATTTTCTGTCATCTTATATTCTTAAAAAATGGAAGTTTCTCTTTCCCCATCCCCTCCTCCATTTTTGAATAGAATAACACTAATAGAACAAGTTAGTGACAGCAGTATTGATCTGATTTTATGTGGATTTAATGGGTAGACATAATAGGGAGGCAAGCTTCAAACTGATATTGGGAAAACATTCTAGCATTGTCTTATTAACCTAGTCTATCGCTGGCAGGATTCAAGTGGTCACTGTCCCTGTCACTAGATGATCTCCCCTAAGGATGTTGTCAAAGGGACTTATGAATTGGTGTGAATTTTGGGCAAAACGACATTTTAGAGCTATTCTAGCTCTAAGACACTATATACTGCTAGTGGTTATATTAATACTATCAATACTATTTCTTCATTTTACTACTAATTGTGATAATCACTGTTCAGTAAGCATCTATTATATGCTATGTAGAGTGCTAGGCATTTTACATATATGTCCCAGTTAAGCCTCATATCAACCCTCGGTAGATATTTTCACCACTGATGTGGGTTTGAGACCTAACTGTTCTCTATTTTTTTCATGGGTGTTGTCTCGACCCTTCTAGTAGAGTACCAGTTCATTCTTAAGAGAGAAGGCAGTGTTGTACACTTTGTATTATTCCTTACAGTTGCTTCAAATATGTAAGAATGGAACAGATTCAACTTAAAAGGTGTCTGCTCAGTCCTTCCATACTCGACACCCTGACGAATTTTTCAGGAGAGTTCTGAAACTTTGTTTCTTGGGTCAGATTTCCCACGTGGTACACACATTGGAGTGGTTACTACAGAACTGTGAGATTATTCTTGTTGAATTTTTTTACAAGGGGAAAGGGGAAAAAGTCGAGGTTGAGAAGAAAAGGAACAATGTCCAACCTTTAATCACCTCCTCTTCCCCACCAGGACAATGAGAATTACCTTATCTGCTCAAACATTGTTCATTTCAGTATTTTTGTAGGAGAGGGGAGGAAATTTAATTATGTCTGCGAATAGCAAATAATTCCTTTAAAACTGTTGTTTTAACCCACTTGAGTCAGTTGCTCATATTTTGCTTTTCTCCAGATCTCTCTGTTAATGTCAATGCAATGATTACAATGTCAAGGTGTTTCATCCACAGGAATGAGGTAAGATGTTTACGGCTTGACATATTGAAAATAATATTTGTTATATAAATGCCATGCATAGTCACTTTTTAGGTCATTTGCAGCAATGAGAAAAGAGTAACATGCTGGAAACTTAAATGTCATGTGGTCTACATGAGAGGTATTTTGTGATTGCCTACATCACCATTCTGATCAGTCAGCATTTCACCAGTGGTTACTACAGGATCGTATTTTTTATTATAGCTATTTGCAGACAATCATTGGTATATTTACCATTTTCTGGTTTTTAATATAATTACAACTCAGGGAATTTGAAATCAATAAAGTTTTGGATGTGATGTGCCAATTGGATAATGAAAATGATTTGGAAGCAGATATTCTGTGTGGGAAATCATCCCTGTTGAATGATGTGGAGGCTCAGAGCTGTGCTTCTGGCAGGTATAAATAAAGCTTTGGGTCCTAAAGAAGAGGCACGTGGATTATGGGGAGTATCAGCAGGAAGGCTGTTTTTTAATCCATGGACTAACACGTGTAGATTCTATTTGAGAACTAGATCTGTGCTATGAAGGCTGGACAATGGTATTCATTCTTCCTTCTATACACCTAGGAGTGAAAGCTTAGTGTTAAAAAGGAACCTTAACAGTCAGCTGGCCTCTCATCCTAATTTTACGGTCAAAGAAGTCAAGAGATGAATTGAGAAGCCTAAGTCACCTAGTTACCATGTCTTAAATGAAACCTTTTAACTTCCAATTCAGCGCTCTTTCTTCTTCACCCCTAAAATCCCTTCCAAACCTCAGCATCCCTCAGTGTTATCTAAAAGAACCCAAAGCCGTGGAAATGGTGACCATAATGGGAAAGCTACAGCCTGGGTATTTTCTCAGTTCCTTGTAACCTTGAGGAAGTTACTTAACATCTCTGAGCCTCACATTCTCATCCGTAGGATGGGATAACAGTAGAGCTGTCTCTGTGAGGGTTGTTATAAAGGGTAAATTAGTTAACGCGTGGAAGGCATTGAAAACGTTATTATTAGTAGCAGTTCTTTCTCCTTTAACAATGAGTGTTTAAGTGTGTATACATTTAAATTACTTGAAGGGGCTGTTGCTTTATTAAAATTCAAGAAGGCACTAGTTAGCTTCTTTCTGGTGTCATTATTTTGTGATTTCTACATTCTTATCTGAAATATCAGTTGGGAATTTTTAATTAAAAATCCAGAGGAAAATAAAAAAATAACTCATCTAGTAATTTCACTTGCATATGTTTCATACTTGAATCACTTGAAGGGAAGCCCAAAGAACATTAAAGATTGCAGATTTTCAGCTCCACAAGTCACAGAGATTTCTCTATTGTCTTCAGGATTATGTTTTTAAGGTGGAGTAGGAATCGAGTCTTCCATCATATTTTCCAAATATTCATAATATTGTCTGTATGTGTTTGGATGTTAAGAAAAGGAACTTTCTTTATAATCTCTTTAAATACTTTTAACGATAGTGAGTCATATGTTTTTGGACTATCGTGGGCTTGTCAGCTTCGAATGCAAGAGGTGTTCAGATCCTGCTGATGTAATGAATTTTCTTTTTAAATTTTAATTACACGTTTGAAGTCTTGATTATACCCTAGGGATTTATTTGCTTATGAAAAGTCAAACTATGAATTACAATATTGCAGAATCATTTCCATTTCATCAGATTAGTTTCACCATTCATTCCACAAATATGGTTTGTAAAATTTTGCAATACCTAGAAAACTTTGATAGTACATTTACAAAAAGGTACTTAAATATAGATGAGAAAGTTAGATGTTTGTCTTCTCCTCTTGATATTGATGTTAAATAAAAGATGGAATGTTTTTGTTTAAAACCAATCCCTCCTTCTTCCCCCCAAATACAATAAGCGAATGGCAATGTGAACAAAGGCTTCCTTTAAATCTGTTATTCAGTTCAAGTGTGTGTTAGGAAAAAAGGTCTATTCTGTGTATAAAATCTAGCAACAAAAAAGGGAATTATTGTAAATAGAAAAATAAAACATGTAGAGGAGACAAATACTCTGTGCACATAGCTTTAAAATCCCGACAGGGGGCGCTTTTCAGAAAGAGAGAATATACAATCATTAACTCAAACACAAATTCCCAAAGAGCAATATTCCAACACGTTCATTCGCCACAATAGATTTACCCATTGAAATCAGTCTACCAGAATTGACCAGCAAATGGGATCTTAGATTTACCACCTAACAGTTCAATTGAAATGGAATAAAGATTTTCCCACAAATCTCTTACTAACATAGACTTTCCTGGATTGTAATGGAGCATCTACTCAACATTCAGTCAGTTCACAGGTAATGAAACTCCTTCTAAATGTTGTCTCCTCACACAGTAGCAGGGTCTTACATGGAAAAGGGCTCTGTTCAGTTTCTATTTAAATCACAAGAAGAGATTACAGAATTGTTAATGAAAACAGCTTATTTTTTTTGGAAATCAGTTAAAAAATCTAGAATTATGAATAGAAAGTAATAAAAGAAAAATAGCTGGTCAGATTTCCCTCCTCTTTTACAGTGATATGGTAGAAATACAAGGAAAATGTGTGACATCCTTTAGTTTGGAAATCTGGTCCCTTCACTTGCTACAGGGCTCAGTTTTAGAGTAGGAAAAGAAAAAATATTTTTGGCTGTAGCTTTAGTAAACAATGGATGATGAACAATATTGCAGAAATGTCTTCAAGAGATCTGAAAACTCAGAACACAGACCTTATCACATTGATATTGTCTACATTCCTCCACAAAGCTTGGCAAATGAATAACTGAGCCCTATTTTGGCGGAACGAGAGAAGGAAGTTCTAATTCCAGCATTGAAACAAGATTATGAAACAACCAACACAAAACACTTATTTCTTCTCCTGAATAATAAAGACATCATGTTTGCATATAGGACAGCTTTTGCATTATTGCTCTACATATAAGAATATATTAAGGAACTCATAACAGACTGCACATTACAAACTTAAGGTTCTTTGGTGAAGAATGAAAGAAAACAGTATTTGAGCTTTAAAGAAAATGATCTCATCCATTTTGCTTTTATCTATTGATCCGTTGGATCCTCTCACAGAGCAGGGAGAGGTACTGTGTGAGTTTCACCATGGCAACGATCGCCACGCCCCCAGCCATCATACAAGTTGGCCAGAAGAGTGAATGGAACAGCACGTTGGAACTGTAGAGTTTGGTTAGGATGACGCTCTTCTGGTTTCCTTCTGGGTCAGAATAGCAGGAGAAGTGTTGGTACTTCCTGAAATTTTCCATGACAACATTCACCAGGGACATGGATTCTTCAAAATTTTTTCCACACTTAGGTATATAGGAGCACTGTAGAAAACAAGATAAACTGTCAGCAGAACATACTCTGTCTGCGTGTGTGTGCATGTGCCTGGTACTAGGAGGGGATGAGGTCTGGAGGCCAACTTAATCATCTGTGAAATAACCATGATGATTATTCTTTTTCATATTCAAGCTAGTGCCTCCAGGAACCCTAAGAACTCACACATTGATTTAAAAAATATTTTTAGGTATCTGACCAAGATGTACTTTGATAGCTCACCCATATATAGTTTACATATTGATTACAGTTGAGTGACTCCAGTGGATTCTTTCCACCACAGTGAAGCATGGTGAGTTATAATTATTCCCTACTGAACATACTTTTCCATGGAATCAGAGTGTCAGCCTGTCTTTTATCTGTCCTCAGCTGTCCCCGTAATATCAAAAGCTACCAGTTCTCTCAGGGAAAGCAGTTTACTCTTATCTTTTTGGCTTGGCTTAATTTGTGCAGCCAAGTCACCTTGGTCACCTTGCTACTGTATTCAAGAAAACAGCTATATCCCTGGACAGTTGCTGAAAAAGGATTGGGAAAGTATAGGGATACTGAATAAGTAGCGAGCTGTGATGAATGGTTTATGCCCAGTTAGCATGACAAAGTAGCTTTTTCCATAAACCAAGGAAAAATACAACAGAACCAAGTCAGTTTACTCTTCAACCAGCACTGATCTGAGAACTTAAAATAACTTTCCTTTATCTTTTCACCTTTCTTCTTTCTTGCGATATCTCTTCTATATGTCTCTCTTTTCTTGCTACATGCTTATATCCTTTGAGTTCTTTCTTTGTATCTCTCTTTTCCTTCCCTGCCCTGCCCCTATTCCTCACTTCACTTTATATTTTCCCCTCTATTTCCTCTTCTTGTCCTCCTTTCTCCTTCCCTTCTCTCTTCTCTGGATACAGGTGGAATTAAAGAACTTTGTAGTTTTTCTTATTATTATTTATTGGACATATTTTTGAATACATTTTTCCTAATTTAAAAAGCAGTCTCTGGAGAGACGAAATCTCTGTGATCTTCCCTTGGTTTCTAAATGGGCACTGACAAAACTGATATAACAATAAATCTAACTTTTTCCTTTTTCTTTTTATATTTTTGCTGAGGAAGATACACCCTGAGCTAACGTCGGTGCCAATCTTCCTCAATTTTATGTAGGTCACTGCCACAGCACGGCTGACGAACGGTGTACATCCAGCCCTGGGATCCAAACCTGAGAATCCAGGCTTTCGAAGCAGAACATCCTGAACTTAACCACTACACCATGGGGCTGGCCCCCAAATCTGAGTTTTTAAAAGTTACAAAAAAGGGATTTAAGTCACGTTTCTGGGAGATGTGCAGGTCCTTGTTTAACTCTTTCTCATCTCTATGGCAAAGTGCCTCCCAATAGGAAAAAAAATCCCTGTCCCTTGTTATACACATTATCAAATGATTGATTTAACTGATTTATCTGAATTAAATTGGTTTGTGACAAGATCACTGCTAATCTGTATAATTTTCAGTGTGAATTAGAAAACTATATCCTCTTTTCAAAACAGCATTATTTTCTATTGAAACATTGTCATAATACATTGATTTTATGAAAAAAAAAACCCCTACACATTTTACTTCTATTACCAATTGATAAGTTGTGATTATAAATATTCGCATCTGTGACTTTTACCATGTGACCGGTACTCCTAGGGTTGTGCAGTGCACAGCTCACAAGACTGTATGCAGAGACACAGATGAGGCGGGTTGTTGGTGAATTTTGAGGTGCGTTGATGGGAGCTTTGAGTTAGGATCCTGGAATTCCAGGACAGTTTAGACTTGTAGATTTCACAGGAAGAAAATATGAAAGAAACAGAATGCGTTTGCTAGTCCAGTATGTTTGGATTACTCTTTCCCTGACTTTTCTAGCGGGTAAACTGGCACCTTGCTTTTTTGGGTCTGCTGTGATCATTAGATTATTTGGCTATAAACATTAGGAAGATTCTTTGATTAGTTAAGAATAGGGGATGAGCATGCTGGCATTTATCATAAACCAAGCTTAACGTAATGTTCTCATGGCAAGGACTGGTTGACACCTTCAGGTTTGATCAGCTAAGAATAAATGTGAGTGCACTCATAAATGTGAGTTCAGCAAAGGCCTGGTACTAGCACAACATTAAGGGTCTGAAAGCATCTCCAAGAAAGCAGATTTTCTCAGTGATCATAATTTAGTACAAAAATCAACCTATGACTGCCAGGAAGCAAATTTTCTAGCAGTTGGATGCCTTTTGGATCATAGGCAGTGAGGGAATGCCTTTATTTCTATCCTTCTTCAAAGCTGCCCAGATCGTGTCTTTAAAATTTTTTAAAAACGTTTTTTGAATCAAAGCATTAAAAAAAGAATCACAGACAAGCCATTTGTGGCTGAATTCAAACAGAGCCAATTTCGATTACAAATGCATCCAGCTTCTGTATATTTTTGTGTGAGATAGTTTATAGTAGTAGTTTCAGTGGCTAACACTGCTAAGTTATTGAAATGATCTCAGTAAAAATAGCACTCCATTAAAAATGGAGTTTTTTTTTTTTCTTATGCTCTTGTGAATTGATTTGGCTTTTAAAATTTTTGGAAGAAACGTTTGTCAGCCAAATGGCAATAATTCTGTCACTAGGTAAGATTCTTCCAAATAAAATGAGATATAAATTACTTTTGAGACTGTCTAGCAAGGTTGTAACGCAGGAGCTGCTTATTAAACTTTCAAGCCATCAGTGACTCCAATATGCACATTTGGACCTGCCAGGTGAGCCATATTCTATACGTGATTGGACTAGGGTCTCTGGGGCCAGTGGCACATCAAAGTGCAACTCCTCATTGCTAGTGGAGAAAAGATTCCTCTCCCCTTGTATTTTTAGCTTCTCCTAACCTTGCCACCTGCCACCTTTCGACACAGAAGCTGGCTCCCATTTTAGACTGCTACTGATCCCTGAAAACTCTACCATATGTCAGTCATTCATTCTGTTTTATTATTGATGGGTCCTTCCTTTGTGACAACGGGAATGTATGAAGTAGTGTACCCAGCCCCTGACTCATGTTCTGGAGATCTGGTTACTGTGTTACTGTGTTTCTGTAAGCAAGTTACTTGGCTCCTCAGGATCAACTTCTTTATCTATAATATTTATATAAAATTATATATGTAATTTCTATATAAGACATTTATTTATAAAGGGGTTAATAAAGGCTTCCTAGCAGGGTTCGTGTGAGGATTAAATGATGAAAGCCTCAATAAATTTTCATTAACATAGTTTCCTATTGGAATATCACATTTGCCTGCATGATCTTCTAAAGTCTTTAACCAAGTGCCACATACTAAACTATGAAACCTCTGAGGAGGGCAAAATTACTAATTATATGGTTTTTACAGGAGCAGTCCTGTTCGATGGCTCTTGTCTCTCACGTTCCTTGCTTTTGTGTTGGAGGAGATTTGACGTGCTGAATCCTACATTAGGATTCTAGTTTTCTGTTTCTGTGGCTCCAACTGTGTCTTTCTGAGGCTGGTGTGAATTTGGGGTGATGATTTAGTGATCTCATGATGTCATCACGTGTTCCGAGGATAATTTTATATGATTGGTTTAGAAGACACAGAATGCATTTCCACAAACGGAAGCTTTACTAAGTGATCTACACTTAGTTGGAAAAATGTAATATAGATTGAAAAGATAAAAATCCCAGCATTTTTAGATCATTCTTTTTTTTCGTGGGAGGTGTGGAATAGGAAAGAATTAACTTTTAGACTCTGCATGATGTATATCATAAAGGAAGATATGAATAATAATTTTATGTACACAAGATGCTTAGGTACTCATCACAATATGTTCATATTTTTTACCAAGGCTATAGGCCATTCTCTCTTTTGTGCCTTAACATATGAATATATAAACCTAGCAGTCCTCTGAGAGAGCCATTCAGCAGATTTAGACTCACATCTGTCTTCTTAATCCTAAATTTTGTTAATAAATCTTTCTGCTTTCCCAAATCCCTTAAGTTCTCTTTAGTATTGAAAACCACAGAGGTGGCCCCAAGGCATGACCTTTCCTCTCCCAGCCGAGGAAACCTGGGTCCTGTCAGCTTCTCTTGACTGTCCTTTCCCTTACACGTCAACGAAGATCCAGCAATTGCATCTTCTCTCCAATTCTTTGGAAAGTGACTGAAAAGTTTCTTTTCTTAACCTCACTTCCAGAGTCTTTTACATCAATAGAGTTATTTTTATTCTCATGATGGACAGAAGTTTTGAGAAACTACCTGTTGGGCTTTGCTTAGGCATGCTTCGCTAGGCATGCGTGAAGCAAAAAGTGACAGTCCTTCATCCTAAAAATAAAAGATGTGGGGGTGAGTGGGGCAGTGGGAGGGGGGTGTTTGGCTGAATAACCTCACTGGTCAGCAGCCTCTTCCTTATGATGGTAGGAAGGGAGCTACCAATTCTCAGGATAACCTAGGGGAAGAGTTTGTTCTTCATTTGTTCTTTTGTAAAAAGGGAGGTATCATTTCAGAGGTTAGAAGTTTCATGAAATCCAATCACTATTTGTTGTCTTTAATGTGTCAGGTAGTGTGCTAGATATAGGCATCAAAAACATAAGCAATATAAGATATTCTTTTAGAGAGAACAGGCAGAGAATACAAAACAAGAGTGGGGTGATGAAATGAGATCAGGAATGAGGCTAAAAAGGCTTTCAGTAAAGATTATACCCTTCAGAGAAGTGGGCTGCAAATTTGCTCTCAGAACTCCTTAGAGTATCCTAGTCCACAATGTCCATGAGATAAAAACAAAATAAAAACATTGGTCATGTGAAACATAAATATTCATGGTTCCAAAGTCAGATGAAACTTTTTCTTGTGTCGTCAAACAATAAATATTGTGCACAAGTTTATTAAGCAGGTGTGATGTGCCACGCTTTGTGTTCTGCGCTAGAGAAGAAAATGTAACTCCTATATTCAAAGAAGGTAGAGATCACCAGCTGGCAGCCCTGGGTTCCT